TCCAGATGTTTGGCGAACTCCGGCTCTGGCCAGTGCAGGTCCATCACGAACATCTGGAGAGCATCCAGCTTCCAGAATAGATCTTCTGATGTGGCCGAGCCATTACTGAGGAAGACAGAAACAGTGACATGTTAGCTCATGCTTGATCGTAAAGCCAGCAAATATACATTACAAGACTAAAAAGGAAAGATGAAAAAATGAAACATGTAAAATCAAGGTATGAATGCCAAGAGTAAGTAAACAGACACTGTCATGCAAAACAGACCAGTCCTTGATGTCCATGAACATATGATATTATCAGAATTTTGTGGCATTTCTAACTATTTGATTTCCCATGAACTAATGATTTAATGCATTATTTAACATAATGTTTGAATTCTGGTGCGTGACTGCAACTAGTGTAAAAAATCACAACATTCATTATATGAAATTTTGCCTTGGCAACTAAATGAAACAAAAAAAAAAGTTTAAGTCGAGATACTAAAATGACTCAAAAATAAATTAAAGCTAAATAGAAAAAAAAAAAAATATGAATGATTATTAAAAATCCTAAATATAAAAATATTACACTGTTAAAATATTAATTAAAAAAGCACATAACCAAAGTACTAAAATTAAATGTTAATTTAATGATAAAAATATGTACTGAAACAATTAAAAGTGCTAAATATAAATATACTAAAAATATAATACATGATGGCAGTCAGAAAAAGAGTGTATAGAATTAGAGCTGGCCTGGAACATTCATCTTAAGATGTTTTAACATTTGCTTGGTTTCAGGCATCTAAGCATTTAGATTTAATTGAATCTCCAAAGTTATTGCATGCAACTTATAAAATATCACATTTGACAAATTCATATATAAAGTATTATTATAATAGTATTATATTTTATAATTATTACATTATAGCAATAGTATATTCTAATAATAATATATAATATATAATTATTGATTATATATTGTATTATATAATTATTAATACAGATTTGAAATGACATTTATATTAAATTTAATATTAGATATTGAAATATTTAATTATTATTCTTTATATGATTATTATTCATTATTCTAATTAATATATTAATACTGGTATTTTAACTAAACTATTAATATGAAATATTCTTTATGTATAACATTATTATAATTATATTACAAGAACATTAATATTGTATTCTAATATTATACTACTTATTGATATATTAATATTATTTTCATAATATATTGATATTAAATTGAATATATTCTATATTATAGTATTATATCTATAATACTAATATATTATTGTAATATAGTATTAATGCAAAGATAAATCTGTTCATTTTCATTTGCTTCATGTTTTGGCCTTAATGGTGAAATGATCTTGCATGTCATTATAGCACTTCTCACATTACTGTAACCCCTACACATATTTCTCACTTGCATACAAATATCTGATAAATGAATTCATGTAAATGCACTTAAAGGGTTCAGAGACCGAGGACTCAAATGTGAAAACACCTTTCACTGTCAATACTTAAATCACTCCAAAACGCGCAGTCAAACGACTAATCAAGCGAGAGAGTTACTATAAAAGTCAGGTTCTCTTGCACCCAGCTGACTGAAGTGCATCCGACAGAACTATCGGCCTGAGAGCGGCTGTTCCAAGAGCTGCAGGAAGTCGAGATCGACAGCATTTTCCAGTGATGTTGTGTGCGACTCTGCTGCGTTTGAACGGGCTCAAGAGATCTCCACCAATCGAGACAGATGGAGCGACACTGCCATGTCAACCGCAGTCGACACAGCAAACTAAAAAAGGCCACTCGTTCCGCTCGCTGTTAAAAGACTGTTACCTTCACAAGTGGCGGTCCGGGAAAATAAATCGTTTGGCAAAGTCCGCTGTGCAATTAAAAGGGGCGAGCACAAACTCCCACTCGATTAATTAGCGGCGGTACAGTCCGTAAGGGCCCCCTCGGGGGTCCGCGCCTCCGCCTCGAGGAAAGAGGCAGGGTGAACAAATGGACGAGTTTCTCGCCTGACGAACAGACTCCTCGGGGGAGAACACAAAGTTCTCGCCGAATCTAACAAGCAGCTAACCACAGACACCCACAGGACTACACCCACTACAGACACTGTTTCAGGCCTGAAAGCTGGTGTGCTTTTGCAGTTCACACTCTTTAGGCTAATTGAGACGGATGTAATTTAACTTTCCGACATTATTTAGGCTCGTGTAGCTGTCAGAAGTTCTCCTGTAGAGCGAAGCTGCTTACATCTTGGCCAGGGTAAAAGTGTATGAGTTCACCCTGATAACCCCTGATGGTTGAGAGAAAATAGTGTTGGCGTTTATCGTCGCATGCTCACAGCGGGTTTAAACGCCCGCAGATTGAACCGATGATACCTGGGCGCTCCGCGTGTAGGAGAAAAATGGAGTTTATGGAGACTCGGCTGTCCATGTGAATCATCTTATAAACAGCTTTCTGTGATTTTGTGGTCTGTCACACTGCAAACACAACACCAAACAGACAGCAAACACAAACGTGACGATATCACTGGTACTCACAAAATATCTGGCAAATTAATTCCTTGTCCGCTGTAAACCAAATGCGTAACTGTGTTAAATTTAGCCAATGAATCACACAAAAAGCCACACAGCACAGCAGCTCCCAAAAATGATAAGTTACCAAGCCACTTTGGCATAAAACGCACTAAAATGAACAGCACAACACCAATGTTTTCATCACAAACAGGATCTTTACCAGTGCTGGGTAGTAACTGATTACATTACTGAAAATTAAGTACTTGTAATTAGATTGTATCACGATTAGAGATTAGATTACAGTTACTTTTTTATGGATTACATGATTACAATTTATTCACACAGTGGCAGTACAATATTCATAATTTATTGACTTTTTCTCTTTTTACATTTTTATTCATGTGATGCAGCGAATCCCAAACTTTTTGACCTTAAGTATTTTCTTGAAGCCCCCCTGAGATTTAAAGTTCATATTTTAATAATTTAACAACAAATTTGCATGTTTTCTGATGTTGGTTAATGGTCATATTTCTCTTTTTTTTTATAACAATAATCCATTTTAAATCAATAAACAAGTTGTCAAAAGTAATCTAAAAGTAATCCAAAAGTAGTCGGAATACATTACCTAAAATGAGTAATCTTGATTATATTACTGACGACAATTTTCAACATGTAATTTGTAATCAGTAACAGACTACAAATTGTAAGTAATCCACCCAGCACTGATCTTTACACTGATGGCAACAGGGATGGGAATCGTAAGCAATTCAACGATTCAGATTCTAAAAAATGATTCTGGTCTCATGAATGATTCCATATGTACTTGTGAAGAAGCATAATAATAATATTATTTTTGATATTCAAGTACCATTTTAAGCACTTAATACAATAAAAAAGATTTCAGTACAAATGAGGTAAAACAAGTAGTAATTCTGTCATGTGGTTCTCTTAAAACCTGCAAGTGATTCAATAAGTCAAGATTCAAGTGAGTCGGTAGATTGATTCATACGCATCGCTCACTTGGTTTATACTTAACATGACTTTTTAGGCAATTCATTAAAAAGAACTCGTAAGAATTACAAACAAAACTTTTATTACTGTATTTTATTGTATAAATTAGCACCTACGTTTAGCTTTTTACATCTGGCAACTGTATTTAGGCTTCAAAATTCAAAAGTTGTGAAGAGTATCATGATGATAATCATACATCTTTGTTGGTCACTTATTTTCTGCAGTAATACAAAAACCAACGGAAAAATCCTTTTTTTTTTGGCTAGGGTACCAGGGTGATGCTAACTTATGGGTTGGCCTACAAAAATACAATCACTGCAGCACTTTATTTGATCCACATTTGCAGACATTTTTGACAAGAATAAGTATTTTTTTAAATAATGGAACCAGTTCAGAAAAAAAAACAGCTTCTTGATTCCCATCCCAAGCCGACAGACAAAACAAATCATAACACTCACACAGTCATGCAATCTAGGATGCACTTTATTGGAAGTCTAATTCATTGTGCTAAAAAAATTATTTTTGTTATGAATTACATTTACCATGCAAATGCTTATTATAGCAATAATTGAGCTTCATCAAACCAACAACTGGAAACATCATTTGACGTATTTACCACATTACAAATGCATATGCCACAATCTCTTTCCCGTGATTTAAATATATTTGAATGGTTTTAAGGCCTGAAGACTCGCTTCGCACACGCTTTGTGGCTATAATAAGCATATGTCAAGAGCAGTAAGCAGTGATGGCGCCCAGCTGGCCCCTACACACTTGCTGTCACACAGCGGCCCCATCCAGGAAGGGGCCGAGAAGCTGGGCATCTGAGGGAGGTTAAGAGGCAGGTTGGGAACCCTGGGCAGATTGTTGGTGATGGTCCTGCCGGAGATCAGAGAGTAAAAGAGCAGAAAGCCCTGAGAGTAGGCCGACAATAAGAGTTCATCAGATAAAGAGCAGAATAACCTGCGGATGACTGATCATTCTGAGGCATCAGAAGCTTACTGACAGGGAAGAAATGCACCTTAGTTGGAGAAGACGTCATGTTTAATGAGACATAACAGTCTGTTCAATGCCATATTGTTTTAACCGTCATGTTCAGTTTGGATTCGCCAGATATAGAGACCCCAGATATAATAAAATAGTTTTTTTTTTTTTTTTTTTTTTAGGGTTTTTTTTTTGTTTATTTTTGTATTTTTTTTTTTTTTTTTATTATTATTATTTTTGGGATGGTGTAATTTGGTGACTTTTGTGATTAGAAATGGTTAAATGGTCTTAAGAAATAGTCACACTTGTACTGTTAGCCGTCAAAAATAAAATATTTTTTTTTTTTTTTTTTTTTTTAGAGTATTTTCTTTCAATGTGTAAAAACATAACTAGATTGGATAACAGTAACATTTTGTGAAAAGTTCATGTCTACTTTGTGGTAAAGAAAAGTACAGTTAAAGCTTAAATAAAAATAATATATAACAATTATGTATAATAATAATAATAATAACAACAATAACAACAACTATTATTATTATTAATTATGATGATGATTTATGTATTTATTATTATTTTAAGCGCTTACAAATGATTATAAAAGAGTTAACGTTTCAATAACAATAAATTATATATAATAATTAATAACAATAACAGGCAAAATACTAAGTTAGTTTATTACGTCAGAGGAAATGTAAGGCAAATGATTATAAATAACAATTATATTAATTGCTTAGAAATTATTATAAAAGAGTTAAAGCTTCAGTAATAAATAATATATAGTAATTAACAACAACAACAACTCTTATTATTATTAGTAGTAGTAATTATTATTATTTAGATAAATTATTATAAATAAAATATAATAATAATAATAAACATTTTGATTAGGTCAGATAAATTTAAAGACAAATAATTATAATAATAAATAAAATATATTTAAAATTTTAATTACTTATAATTTACTACTACTACTACTAATAATAATTAATATATTAATGAATAAATATGTATTTCATTATTTTGATAATAAATTATTATTATTATTATAAATAAAATATTAATATTAATAAAAGTTGTAGTAGTAATAATAATAATAATAATAATAGTATTTAATAATTAAATGTAAAAACTATAATAATAATAATTGTTTCAGTTTCAGTTGATTTATTTACTGAATATTATAAATAATATTATATATTGTTTATATATTATTATTAATAATAATAATAATAAATAGGTAATTGCTATTATTATAATTATTATTAAGAAGTTTTTTGATTAGGTCAGAGGAATTTAAAGGGAAATTATTATTATGATTTTTGCTATTTTTACATGTACAACACAGGGGTCATTGGGACTCCAAACATAAAAACAGTAAAGTCATTCTCATCAGAACATGATGAGACGGTCTTATGTAAGATCTCATTTTCACAGCCAATGTTCTCTTTAGTTTTGCATCCACAGGAACTTGTTTGGTCAACCGTATGATCACGACAGCACGACATACAGACTTCACATCTGCACCTCACAGCCTTGTGTTCAGTCCCATCAAATTAAATATGGTGAGAACAAACAAGAAACTGTGAAGTAAATCAGAAAAGTACAAAGCATTAATGGAAAATGATGAGGACAATCTTTGAGGCTCTATTCTTTAACCTCTCTCCAATCATCTCTGAAACATGAACAAGTTGATGGGTTTGCTAGAAACAGTCCGACACGGTTAAACAAACACGGCACTGTATTCGCTTAAATGCAAAGAGAATCAATAAGAAAACATACATACATAAAATCACATTGGACTCTAATGGCTTGGCTCTTACTTCACAGACTGCCACGTCTCCTGCTCAAAGCCGCGATGAATGGACTGAGCTATCGACGACTCCATCAGGTCAATGTAGCGCACCACCAGAGGGATATACAGGTCCTGGAGGTGCTTATGGAACGTTCCATTGCACAGGTGAGCTAGAGAACATGAAGGATGAATGAAGGCTTTACAACAATATTGACAGATGTGCAACTTACTGTATATTATCAGGCAAAATATTGTGAGCAATGCTATTCTGCAGTGGAAATATATCTAGAATGACCGTTGCCGAAATCATAGACAACTGTAATAATTTTTAATTAATAATAATTTTTTTAAATATGTAATGTAAGTCTCTGGTGTCCCCAGAATGTGTCTGTGAAGTTTCAGCTCAAAATACTCCACAGATCATTTATTATATCATTTTGAAAATGCCTATTTTGAGTGGAAGCAGAAACACGATGTTTTTCGGCCCTGTCTCTTTAAATGCAAATGAGCTGCTGCTCCCCGCCCTGTTTTCCAGAATAAAGCTGTGCCATTACAGCTTGGGCCTGCTAAAAACATCTGTTTTGGTTCTGATTATCATGTTTATCGCACTGAAATCATGCATTTTAAACCATATGAGTTTAAACTTCTGATATACGGTTTTCTGAGAGCACACATCCGAAGCACACGGACAGAAAGCGGCTGTCACAGCATGTGAGTAATAAACGAAGTTCTCATTCACACACAAGTTTACATCAAAAACACACACGAGTTACAAAAAACAGTTGGTTATGTCTGTGAAGGTAAACAGCTGGGAAAAAAATTGCATGTTTATTTTAGATCTGTGTGGCAGCAGCAATATACAGTAAATAAACCAATAAATCCACTGGTCTCTGTCTCCTCTGAGGCTGGGACTCTAATGGCGCTTTTCCACTGCGTGGTACGACTCGGCTCGGTACGGCTCAGTACGGCACGGCACGGCACGGTTTGCGTTTCCACTGCAGTTCAGTACCGCTTTAGTGTGGGCGGGATTATTCACATGTCGTTATAGTTGCGCCGCCTCTACTACCACGACTCCTAAAAAAAAAAATCCTTTTTCATTCCGCGTCGCCCCATCAAGCTCTCGCTGGATCCGCTCCTCTGCTATCAACGAGAGGAACGTCTGTTCTTCCGCAACAGACAACAAAACTTTTTGGTTGTTAA